TGTTACTCTTAAAACTGAAAGGTCGTGGCTGTTTTAGTAACATATATAAATTAATATACACGTATTTCCTTCACGGTTCCGTTAAACTGAAGCTTGGTCATTGTTCTCGGTCGAAGTCTTTATCAATGGGATGTCCTCAGGGCTCGGTTATCGGTCCGTATTTATGGAATTTAGGATTTGATGATTTGCTCGCGATTCCCCTTCCTTGTGGCTGTACTTTGACTGGATATGCGGATGATGGCCTTTTGCTAGTACAGTCAAATACCCGCGCCGGACTGGAGAATTTGGCTAAAGACTGTCTCAGTAGGATCTCGCGATGGGGCGAACGAAATCGCTTAACTTTTGCACCCCATAAAACTTACCAGCTATTGCTTAAAGGAAATCTAAAGTCGTGGCCGTCTATTAAATTTAACAACGTTTCCGTAAAACGAAAGGAGTCGGTTTGCTATCTCGGTCTAGTTTTGGAAAAAAACTTTTCTTTCATTGAGCATATTAAGGCTATTAGTGAGAAAGCCAAAAAAAACTTCTATGCGCTGACGCGAATTTCAAAAGCCACCTGGGGTCTCTCTTTTCTTACGCTCAGGATCATATACGGAGCAACCTACCTGGGATGCGTGTGCTACGGGGCACCTGTCTGGGCTGATAGGGCCACAATAGGCGCGGTACGGCGAAAACTTCTTCAAGGCCAGCGTCTAGCCTTGATTTTCCTGTGTAAGGCTTATAGGACGGTTAGCACTGAAGCCCTACCTGTGCTCGCGGGCGTACTTCCGGTAGATCTTGAGGTGCAGCGACGTGCTGCTATGTACTACAGTGCGAGACCTAATTTGTCAGCTAGCTTTCTGGCAGAACGTGATAGAAATAAAATTGCAAGATTGTTTAAGCCAATAACGGACGTTTGGGATGAGCTTATAACTGAATGGCAGGGTAGATGGGCATCTTCTATTAAGGGCCGCCACCTGTATCAGTTCTTTCCATCCGTGCATGAGCGGCTGGAGAGGACATGGTTGGAGGTGGATCACTGTGTTGCCCAATTTCTTACTGGCCACGGCAACTTTAAAGGCAAATTGTTCTCATTTAAACTTATTGATTCACCATGGTGCCAATGTTCGACAGAGGAGTTGCGATACGAGCAGTCGGCCCATCACATACTCTGGGAGTGTGATCTCTGGCAATATGAACGTAACACTATGTTAAATAATTTAATTGTTTCGTCAGGTGTAGTTTATTATACGGACCTTGTGGAATCTAGAACGAATTTCCGTGCGTTTAGGCGTTTTTGCCATACCTATTATTGGAAGCAAGTATAACAGCTCACACATAGGACCCACTTAGTTTTTAGTCAAATTTCCGTGGTGCTTGGCGACTGGGCTTCACCCAGTTGTACAGTCTCTTCTTTGTGCCTTTAGGCTTAATTCATTCTGTCTCCTGCAGTAATTCACCGAGGGAAGTGAAAACCATAGTTTTTCTTCTTCTCCTCTTATAATATCTTCTGATTCACTTCGTTGCGGGAACCAAGACAGTTACTCATGTCCCTGGGACGCGCCGGACTTCAGTGTTCCGGTGTTTTCATGGTTGTATCTACTGTAGATCCTGGCTTACAGGAGTTGCAGCGGTTTTGGGAGGTTGTGGCGGGCTTGTCCCATAACAAGAATTCCTAAGAAGCCATGTACAAACTATGATAGAATCCGCTTAACCATTTGAAAGATCTAGCAAAAACAAAAACGTTACCCCAGCAAAATCTCGAATAACTTCACAACCGATGAAAGAACAAATCTATACTAATATTATAAAGAGGTAAAATTTGTAAGTTTGTATGCAAGGGGTAATCTCTGGAAGTAATAATCCAATTCTAAAAATTTTTACCAGCAGAAAGCTGCATTATTCCTGAGTGCTTATAGGCTATAAATTGTTTCTATAACATGTATATTTACCGAGCTATCACAAGTTTTGCCTTGCAAGTCGGAAAAAAAATCCTCATAAAAAATAATTATTTGCGTGCGCTGCCTAAACTATAAAAGATAGAACCATAAAATGTGCTAATTAATTGTAGATCTTATAAATGTCTACAAAAAAGTCCGCGACACACTATACCTATCTAGGTCCAGTAAGGCACAACTAGCATTTTTTAAGAAAAAATCTTGAATTTTTTAGTTCATCTAGACAACTAATTTTATAGCTAGTAATTATTTCAATATTCCCTTTAGAACGAAAAAGTCTGGCTGGGGTAACGTTACCCCAGCAGGAATTGTTTTTGTGAAATAATTAAAAAATTAAAAGCGCAACCAATTTAAAAATGTGCGCAACAATTACAGAAGCCGCACAACTAATTATCTATAAGACTCAAATTACCATTTTTAAACAACATCTGGCCTGGGTAACGCACACTAAAAATAAGTAATATCATAATAATACTGAACATATTATTTCATATTTATGACACTGTATTTTCAGCATACTTTGTATATTTCTTTTTAAATACATACATCGATCTTCAAATTCCGATTTCCTTTAACACTTACGTAATCGTAACAGGACAAACACAATTAATGGTAACTTAAAAGACGGGTTCCCGTTTATGTGGTCAATCCCGTCTACCACTCCTCTGCCAATGACATCACAGTATATTTTCCAACAGTCCCGAGTCGGTGCGCACGCGCAACGACGTGTTTTACTTACAACCGGAGAGATCCTGTGTACCAGACTCCCCAGTATGGTACTCTACGCAAGCGTTGAGCAGACAAGCGCTGGCGAAGATGCTGCATCGCGTCAAGATGGTTAAGGAGATAAACATCGCGTTACTCACCAGCTAAGGTAAGCGTTGTAGCGAGTAAGCTGCGCTGCTGCCAAGTGAGAGTCTATGTATTTTGTCTAAGCACTGAAATATTGTTGCAGATTACATCGCCAGTCTGCACACGGCTTGGAAACTAATGCAGCGATGCGGTACAAGTTACTGGCACACTCCTACAGACTACGTTCACCGGAGTACCGCGCGAGTGGGCTACAGGTGGCTCTCGCAACGTATCTCCGACGTCAACCGATCGCTTATGAAATCTGTTGTTGTGGTGTACATGTACATGTATATTTTTTCTACTTTGTATATCAGTCTGCGTAACGGACGACGAACATTAATTAGTTTATATAAGATTACGTTTTTATAATGTTACAATGTTTTAGTCGTAAGTTCTGTGCGGGACTGTTTGTGTATGTACAGATAATGGTACTAATTGTACCATTCAATTCACATATTATTTATCATTATTATCTAATTCCTTGGTCTATCATTTATAAAACATGTGATTAATTCGAATCATTAGAAATTTTGTAAATACACCAAGCGAAACAAGAATAATTTCATTTTGTTTCGGAATTGTGTGATACATTCTCATTAAAATAATTATTGGCGACTTGGGTTGTATGTTCCTCAGTGCCAGGATATAAAGATTTTATGTTTGCCCATGTGTAAAATTTGAATATTAATAATATAAGATAGACATAAGTTATAAAATTCCAAGTTTTTAGTGGCAAATCCACTCCTGTGTAATAGTAGTACCTATTCATTTTATAAATTGAGAAAAGTATATAATATCTCAGATAGAAATTTTTATTGAAAATAATTATAGCTTAGCAAAAGAGTCAGATTCGTATTATATTTTAAGTATAATGGCGTCAGATATAAGGTTTAGGATTAACGCTGTGTAAAAAAGAATACTGATTCTCTAAAACTAAGTGTTTTATTTTATATCCTAGACTAGACACTGGTGTGGATAACGAAGTCCTTAGGATTTCCTCGGTTTATCTACAAGCAAGATAAACCGAAATGACCGCTGCACAAGTGAACTTTATTTCAACCAGTAACCATCTTAGCAATAATTAATTATTCCTCAAAACACTTGGACACATGCCCCCCATGCCATACGTCTCACGAGATGGAATGATGTGCTGCGGAAATTCCGTGGCATGAAACACCATCTAATCAAATCCCTGTGAGACAAAGAAAATCGCTTTTCGCTGTCTATTTATAGCGGAAACGTGTGCGTTACCCAGACCAGATGTTATCGAAAATGGTCATTTGAATCTTATAGATAAATAATTAGTTGTGGGGCTTCTGTATTTGTTGCGCACATTTTAAAATTTGTTGCGCTTTTATTTTTTTAATTATTTCACAAAAACAATTCCTGCTGGGGTAACATTACCCCAGCCAGATCTTTTTCTTTCTAATGGGAATATTTGATTGTCTAGATGAAGTAAATGTTGTGCCTTATTTTGTATTTGTTCTTTCATCGGTTGCGAAGTTATTCGAGATTTTACTGGGGTAACGTTTTTGCTTTTCCTAGATCTTGGAAATGGTTAAGCGGATTCTTATCATATTTTGTACATGGCTTCTTAGGAATCAGTCTAAATATGTTGTGCAATTAAAAAAAAAATAATACACAGCTTAAAGGTTATTTCATTAGATAGAAAACACTTTAATTGGTCCCAGCACTCTCAATACGAGTATAACGCCCACTTTCCTGATGACTTTAATCGTATTATCTCATTAATTATCCAATGTACTGAGCTGAAATTTTACTGATATACAACTGAACTTGCAACTACCTAATTATTGACATAACATTCAGTTCATATATCTCCAATCCATTGGCCAAATAACACCGCGCGCATCAAGACCATGCTCGTGAAGAACTCAAGATCATCATAACTTGTTTAATACTTACAGTATAGTGGATACTAATGAAACTTCACATACATTTGAAGGCAGTTACAAGCTTTAAAATAACGTTTAGTAAGTCTTTAGAGCTCGTACAGAGAGTTCTGGGTCCAATTATTGGAGCGTTCAAGTATTACGTAACGCAATTTGGGGGGGCGGGGGGGTCTCGTAAAACGTTACGATGCGTTACACGGGCGGGAGGGGGTCCTTCTTACAACACGTTACGTAACATTATTTCTTTGTTTATATAAAAAATTAGGGAAATAAAACTCCCAAATTGGCAACCCTTTTCATTTACATTTTACGGGGAATCTCTCGATTGTATTAGTCTGGTCGCCATTTTTAATTTGTTCTCGCATGTTGGTAAACCTTTTCGTTTATATTTCACGTGGAATCCCTAGATTGTATTGTACGTCATTTAATGTTGTTTTTGTTGTCAGTATTCGTTAGAAGTGTCCGAGAAGTGCATTGAAATCTGTGTTTACGGATATTTTCATGCCGCCACCTTGCCCAATACTTCAAACCCCAAGCAAGCTCGTAGTACCCAGTTTGTTAGACAAAGGAAAATCCAAGTTTTCGCCACTTCTTGTAAGGTTGTCCGTTAATCTGTCACCTCCTCTAGAAGGGTTTAAGCAGATGCCTTACGATTTCTTTTGTCCATCTGTACAATCCGACCTAAAGAAAAAAGTATGTCCAACCTGTGGGATCTATTTCACATCTCACAGGAGTGTTCAAATGCACTGTCGTTACGTGCATGGCAAGACTGTCCAAGACCATTGTGAAACTAGAGTACGGCCACAGCGCCTTGCTGCCAGAAGGGCAAATGAGCTTCTCTGCATTGTGCGTCGTTATGAAACATCGTCTGAGGATGCTGACTGGCTCGACGAAGACGAAGTTGATGCAAGTGGCTTAACAATTCCAGAACCGTCTTCGTCTGCACTCCAGGTGCCAGTGATGAAAGAATCTGAGTGGCTAGCAAACCCGTGGACAGAGGAGTAGTAATTTCAATCGAATTGTTTTTATAGACCTACTTAGATACTTGGTTAATAGTTGATTATTTTTTATTTTGTTAAGAATACGATTTTATTTCGAGTAAAATGTTTAATTTCAGTTGGGTTTCTGTTTATAATTGCATTGCCAAAGGTTAAAATAAATATGTTATTTTATTTGAAGAATTTATTAGTAAAAAAGCTAAAATACTTAGGAGAATGAAGGAGAAAAACAATTGTGTTTTGTAAAGCCAAAAATTTATAAAAAAATAAACAAAATACGCAGGTGTTGCGAATTAAAAATCTCTTGTTTTATTATAAGGCAATTAAAACCATACGAAGGATAAAAACTATAACAACTTTTTGCGACTTCAGGGTAAAAATGATGAGAAAAACGTTACGGAGCGTTACAGTGGGGGGAGGGGGGGTCAAAAATCTTCAAAAATTGCGTTACGTAATACTTGAACGCTCTCTAAAGTGTTTTTCTATTTAATGAAATAACCTTTAAGCTTTTTATTATTTTGGTTTGTTTATTGAACAACAAATTTGAACTAATTCCTAAGAAACCATGGACGAAATAAGATAAGAATCCGCTTAACCATTTCAAAGATCTAGCAAAATCAAAAACGTTACCCCAGCAAAATCTCGAATATCGCAACCGATGAAAGAACAAATATAAAACTAGGCACAACATTAATAGGGTAATACAGTCTAATTCAAAAAGTGTTTTAATTTAATCTGTTATTGATAAAATACCACAAAAAAATATAAATACATTTTTTTATTCCAATTATTTCATAAAAACGTGTTTTAATTTTACAATTCAAATTTGGGCGCGAAAACGCCAATTCTCAGGCAGGCCGCCATGTCTGTGACGTCACGGGCATTGTAAACATTACGCTTCGCTGAAAGAAATAAACATATTTTCGAAATAAATAATGAGTGCTAGTGGCTATAGTCCTTATCATTGGTGTCTTGTGTCTGAATGTAAGAATACAAGTGTTAAAACACCGGAAAAGTTATGGATACAAGTGCCAACAGATTTAAAAATGAGAAATACGTGGTTGAAATTAGCACGAAGAGATCCAAAGTCATTGTCCACAAAAACGAAATACTATTTTTGTGAGGATCATTTCGATGTAAGTATGCAGTTTAATAGCTCATATAAACATGTGAAAATAAATTCTTGTCATTACAAAACTAATATTTTATAGGTTATGTTTTATAGTGTTTCATGTAATTTATTTCATGTTGTAGCTGGAAAATGACATGGAGAACTATACACAATTGAAAATAATGGGCTCGGTCAAACGAATTCGCATGAGACCGAATTGTATTCCATCGAGATTCGATTGTCAGCCAGGGAGAAAACGAACCTTCACTGTAAGTGAACCTCGCGCTGCCTTTATGAAACGGCAAAGACTATCTATAATTAAGGAGATTGAAGAGACCACTAATAATGAGACATGTGATACACCATTGTCGTCGTCCAGTGGCCAAGGTGAGTTATTTTAACTGGTCTCCTATACTTACCAGTCTCTTGAATGTTGATCAATAGGAAGCTCAGACCAAAAACAAAGTTTTGCCTAACTGGGAGAAGTAAACATCTTAGATAAAAATAGATAGCTCTAGACAACTAATTTTATAGCTAGTAATTATTTTAATATTCCCATTAGAAGAAAATGGTCCGGCTGGGGTAACGTTACTCCAGCAGGAAATGTTTTTGTAAAATAATTAAAAACCTTTAAGCGAAATGTGCGCAACAATTACAGAAGCCGCACAACTCATTATCTACTATAAGATTCAAATGACCATTATCGACAACATCTGGCCTGGGTAACGCACACCTAAAATTGATTGGCATTTGAATAATGACTAATTGAACATTAGATCTTCAAAACTATCTATGTAACGGATTTTGGAGCGGTTTTTATTAGACAGAATGATACAAGGTGAAGTTTTATATAAGACTAGCGGCCCGTCCCGGCTTCGCACGGGGGGACATAAGATTTTTTACATAGTTTTACATTTTATTTATATTTATTCTCAGTTTTTTTATTTAGGAAGCATTTACCTTTTGAAAATATTTTTCCGGACTTCATTTACTTATTTCATTTATTTATGAACAACTAGCTTCTGCCCGCGACTTAGTACGCGCAATCCCGATATTTCCCGTACCCGTTCTTGATTTTCGGTTAAAAGTAAAAAATAAGTATTGGGTAAAAAGTATCCTATGTCCGTCTCCTGGTTCTAAGCTACATCCTCACCAATTTTCATCCAAATCGATATAGCTGTTCTTGAGTTATAAATAGTGTAACTAACACGACTTTCTTTTATATATATAGATTCATCTATAGAGCATTTTTGTATAACTTTAACTATATGCTCAGCGCACGCCACGGAAGGCCTCAGAAACGATACTTTTCCCCCGTTTTTAAAACATTTTTGGTTACTGCTCCACAACTACCTATAGGATATATAGGAGATATAGGACCTAGCGTGATATTATATAGCCTATGTTACTTCTGAATAATGCAGCTTTCTAATGGTGAAAAAATTATTGCAATCGGTCCAGTAGTTTTTGAGTTTATTCATTAAACATACACAAACATACAAAAATACAAATCTTTCCTCTTTATAATATTAGTATAGATAGTATAGAAGACAAAAGCCATATAAAACAATACGCATATCAGAAAAGCTTCAAGAGTAAACACACATATAAAGAGTTTTCGCTACAGGAACTTTCGGAAATGTAGTAAATCCACGGACTACTTAGAGAGAAAATCTACCAACTTTATCCAAAACTCTTTATCAACCAATCAACACCGTGTCGCTTTGATAGATTGTTGTGTTGCCCGATATCAAAATATGAATACCGCAATATAATATTATTTTAGAGTTTCCCGCTTTTTCTTAGCAGGTACAAATTATATAAACAATTATATTTGATGGGCCGACGTTTGACCACTAACTCGCCTGGTGGTAAGAGATGATTAATCAATTAAATAATCCTTAATTTATATGATTAACGACACCATCTATAAGTCACATCATTTATAAGTTTTTTCAACTTGCTGAAATTATTCTAGAGAGGCCTGCGGGTGACTGATTAGGGGACTCAGTCATCCGCTGTATGGGTGGGAGTTAGCGTTGTGTTCCACGGTCGTCACTTGAGGAAGGGAATCGCAGCCTCTGAGGCCTGCCGGATGCGGTGAAACCACACGGCCACAAGCAGAAGAAAAACACCGTGGTGTTCCTCTTCTGCCTGCCGAACAACTCCCCCGTCGTCCACGCGGCGTGGGAAGTCCATGAGGAAAAAAAAAGTATTCTGTACCCATGCCAAGTGTAATACATTAAGAGCACAAATTATGAGTCACACACAAATCCTATTGGGGTTGGCACCCCCTATATAGGGATGGCGATTCTTTCCAAAAAAGATCGATTTTTAAATCGATTCGAATCAAGGTCTAATAAATCGATCCACAAAAAAATCGAGGTGAAAAGAATCGATTTTGCAAAAATCGATCTTTTTCGATTCGCATATTGAGTCTATATTTTTAATACATATTTACGAGTATTTATTTAGAAATAAACTAATGCTTTCAATTCAAACAACTTGCATGAAAGGCGAGTGATCTGACAATGGCATTTAGAGTAGTAAACTTAAATTGAAAGCATGTATCTCGATGATAGCAAGAAGGGATTACTTAACTTCAATTCAATTACTTATTACTCTCAAGCACAAAAATGTCAGTATTTATTTTTACGTTGTTTTGTCTTTGTCAGGACAGGCAAAGGGAGCTGACTGACCATAGAGTATAGTAAATATACCAAAAGGTCCTGACTATGACTGTTTTTTTTTTTATTACTTTTATCTATTGTTAAAGGGTAAAGGACATTAAGTACACATCCATCTATCGAGTTTTTGAGTAAGTTTTTGAGTGAGTTCATCCATCTGTCGAAACAGAAAAATCGAATCTCGATTTTAGAGGGTGAAATATCGATTCAATGGATCGATTCAGTACTTGTGTACTGCGCCGTAGCTTTTGTGATTTTGCTTTTTACATTTTCTAATAGTTTATTGTAAACTTTAGGAAGCAGAGTTTCCGAAACTGTTTTGCGTGTGGGTAGTGAGTATCCAGAATTTAGCATTTCGACTAATTTTCGAAACTCTCTTTCCTCTACGATTCTCAAAGCGTGATAGCCTTTTGCAATCATTCTGATTAATTGTTCGTCGATCTGCTGAATTCTATTTAGTGGCAGGGGCTTTTTCACCACAACAAATTGGTTCATAGACGGAGCTGGAGGGGTAGTTCTAGAAGTACTACCTATTGTGGCTTGTACGTTCAAATTTGCGGTGCTTGTACTAGCTACTTCACTTACATCAGCCGAGGACACTTCTTGAACAGGTTCTAATCTGTTCATCGATATATTTATAGTGGGATGTACTTGTTTTATGTGCCGGCTTAAGCTACCAATGGAGCTAGAAGACATTGCCAGAATCTTTAAACAATACAGACACTTTGCTTTCTTTGGCTCCGTTTGCTCAAAGTGGTTCCACAGTGGACTAGATTTTCGCTTAGATGCCATTTTTTTTTGTTACAAACAATCACAAAAGTCTCCTCTAATTAGTTATTTTCTTTCACGAAATAGTTCTACAAAAATTTAATTAAGTACTTAAAAATATTATTATGTTTTTGTATTTTGTAAATAATAATAATAAAGTATTAGGTAATAAACAAATTTACGTTTGCCTTATCATATTAGGTGAAATTGCCGTTACTAGCGTGAAACATTATAAACCTACTTACTGAAGTACTTACCTACTCTATTTTTGAGATAAAACATTAATTTCGATAGAGATATAAGTACCTATAATGTTTTACATTTTTAAGAAACAAATTAAAACAAAGCAAAAAAGCGGCAATTTCATAGTAGGTAGCTCTGTGGTAAAGACCTATTAATATTAGTACCTACTTACTTAAATATTTATTTACAAAACACAAAAACTTTGTTAGCACTGGTTAGCACACACTACGGAAAGAACACGCACGCTTCGAACTAAACAAAAATCTATATATTATCTAAACTAATTTCTAATTACAAGCAATGTAACCTACTCCGCCCGGTAACAAACTTGGCGACATAAAAAATCAAAACATTTGAATACTAGGTACTTGCATAGCACGTGTCACCATTCTCTGTCTCTTTTTCGCGATATGCGCGGCCGGCAAAATTTTACATCGGCTGCGCGCGGTGGGCGCTCGTGCTTACGAACTAAAACGACGCTTACCGAACGTTGCCGAAGTGATGAGTGATGCGAGTGATGTTTGTAACTGATGCGTAATGCGTGATGTTGCATTACGTGTCAAAGTGATATTACTTTTGTACTATTACACGCATTACCTACCCATGTCTAGAAGGTTGGCATCTGTCAAAATGGCGCTGTTATAGCTAGTGCCCAAAACATTGCATTTCTCTTCGATAAAAATAAGAAAAATATTTGTTCTATTAAAATGACTCGTTGTATCGTATTAAAATGCTCGGAAATAGGAGTCCATCATATCCCAAAAGATAAGGAAATTCGTCGGCTTTGGTTAAAAGCCATTCGCCGTGAAGATTTAGTTCCAACAAATAATTCGAGGTTATGTCGGAAACATTTTGTGGAAAGTGATTACGAAAAAATCAGCAAATACACAGGTAACCTGCTTGCCAACAATTTCTTGTACTAACTATTTATATAAACATCTTACGACAGCAATAATATAGTTAGTTTAATTTTATTAGTACTGTACCTATTAAACTGTCAAAACACCAAGCGGTCACCGGTGTCCGCAACCTATTGTTCTATAATTGTGTCTATAATGACGGTACTCGACGAGTTAAGATGTTAATTAATAACATTCCTAACTTTTTGTTACAGGAGTTGAACACCAGCACAAATATCTTAAGAAAAGTGCTGTACCATCTGTCTTTGCATGGAACACACAACCAGTTTCGGAGAAAGCAAAGGCAAGACAACATAGATTAAAAGCCCGTAACCTTAAAAAGAAACAGCTTTTTGAAATGCCTTCTACTTCTCAATACTGTGAGGACATCGTGCCACTTAAAGAAGATGACGATGTGCACATGACTGATTGCAATGTATCTCAAGTGCTTGTCATTGAAAATGAATGTGACAAATCACCATTATCTTATGTTGTAAATCAGAACACTTTTGGCACTCAGACATCAAACATATTAAGACTATTCTCAACTGAGCTGTTACTTGCAGTTAAAGAGACAGTGCATTATTATACTGAATTAGAAACATCTGCAAAGTTTTCTTTAGTTCTAAGCACACTTTTGCCTATGGCTAATCATTTAAAATATTGTTGGAGTCAAGTAGTATGTATATCAGTAGAGAACCAATTTCTCATGTTATTAATTAAACTCAGGAGAAACATTACAGATTTTGAACTGAGCAAAATATTTAGTGTCAATAAGACTGAGGTTTCTAATATAATAGTGACTTGGATAAAAAAGAAGACTTGAGAACAAAGAAAGATCCTAAAGCAGTTTAGGAAATATAAAATAGGATTATGTAGATTTCCTTGCCCTTTAACATCTGAAAGTGTAACACTTCGGTATGAATGGGTCGGCTCAACAGAGTGAAACCGCAGTCAAACTTCATAAAAAATCAAAGTGAAGCAATGCTTGCGTTGTGTTATGATTTTGATGTATTAAATGACTGAGGTTACCAGAGGCCCAATCCATTCTCCTCCGCCAAAGGCTTTCAACAACATACTTGTTACTCCTCTGGTGTTACAGGTGATCAATGTCCATGTATAGTGTGATGCCATTTGTGGTTTTGCTTTTTGTTCAGTATTGTAACTTACAATACTGCACTGTTATTATACAATTTGTAACTGTTTGAATTTTTCTTGTGGTATAAAATCATATTAACACAATAAATTAATTAAATTACCATCAAATCGTTTGTCCTATTCAATGAAAAGGACAACCTGTAACGGACTGCCATTCAATGTGTAGCGGGTTCGATTCCCGCGCTGAGCAACTCTTTATGTCAAGTACAAATTGTTGGTCTGCATCTTAACGGCTACAATTAGGGTTCCGTATGGTCTAGAATTGGTCTACACGTCTCTATTATATCTATGCAAGTCTCCAATACACGGAAGACAAAAAACAATGATGTTGAAAAAAGGTTTTTTTCAATATCCTTGAATGTCCTTGATAAAAACTAGTTTTATAGCTAGCTCTCGACGACCGAGCCTGGACACAAGCTACTCTGCCTGTCCGCATGGGTGGGCTTAGCGTCCGTAAAATTTCCAGTGTAAGCTTACCGGCTTTCATATCTTCCGCCAATGGTACTGAAGAATTAACCAGGAAAATTCTTTCTCAATCACTGGTTAATTTTGATGTACCATATTTAGTGGAAGCTGTAAAAGCTTGGAAAATTGCTTGCCCAAATATTGACGCCCCCGTCAAATTACTCTCCCAGACGCAATGCGCAAATCCCGCTCTGCAGAAAAGTGAGCGAAAATCTGTTGAACTCCGCTTGTTCATCTGCAGAGCGAGCTCGCCTTTTGGCTGTGGGTGACTGGGATTCGGGCTTCGTCCAACCTAGGTACAGCGTGTCGAGCCGGTGCTGCCGCTGCTGCTGCCGAGAACCTCAAACGGCGAAAGTGTAATAGCCTGTTTGGCAATTATGCTTTCGAACCGTTTGGGGTTGAAACTTTAGGGCCGTGGGGCCCAAGTGCACATCTTCTTTACAAAGATATTGTAAGGAGGATAGTTGACACTTCAGATGATCGAAGGGCTGGCTACAACCTTGGGCAAAGGTTAAGCATTGCCGTTCAACGTGGCAATGCTGCCAGTCTTTTGGGCACCCTACCTCACGATAGCGATGAGGCAATTTTTTTTTTGATGCCTTAGCATTTTTATTATTGTTACTTTTTTAAGATGTAAATATTTTAATTTTTAGTTAAATACATTTTATGTTTTATTAAGTGTACCATAACACATAATGTCATGATCGTGGCAATATTGATTGTCATTGGACTGTCAGTGTCAGTCTCACTGTCAGATATAATATCAATTCGCCGAGATGCGAAAAATAGAAAACAATCTTCTCTTTATTGTACTGCTGAAGTTTATCAATATTGTTGGTTGAGTTTTGTAAAATAAAAGTAATTATTATATAATAAAAAAAGCTTTTCATAGAGAGGATAGGCCTTTGCTCTGCAGTGGAACGATCATGGCTGATAATAAATAAATTCCAGTGGACTTATGTGCAGTTGTTACAAACTGAAGTTTTATTTTGTTATTTAGATTTCCACAATGAATGTAACAACAAGTAAAGCGTCGTATAAAAGACATGCTTATTCAGCGAAACGAAATTCTCTACAAAAAGTTCGGGGAGTTCTTCGAGGGCACTACAAACGGGATATAAGGTAAGTCGATGTATAATTATTTGCTTATAACAACAAATTCTGCCGGCTTCCAAGCAAACACGAACATGGCCACGGTAGGAGAGATAAACTTCAAACTTCTCAAATTGTTGTGGACTTTCCTCTCAAAAAACCACTACTGAATCAACTTGCACGGTTCTCGCACATTATTTGTCTTTAAAAAAGACCTCTGAGTTTGATTCGGCGATTCTTCTCAGAGTAGTCACCGGCTAAACCGGCCCTCGTCTAGTAATTTAGAGATTGATGAGTAAAAGTGATAATGATTATTGATTAATATCTGGTCTCCAAAATGTTCTGTTTTTTTATTAATAAATATTTCATTCTTATATTTCAGCCGTTTGCAAGTTTGGCATGAAGAACAGGAGAAGCCAGTGAAGAAAATACTAGGAATTCCGGGTAGCGTACATTTGTGCACTCTTGTTGGAAACTGTTTATTTGATATTTTATTTCTTATGTCATAAGTATCCAATATTTCCCTAAAGATATTTTCCAATAATTATTGGAAATAAAGCAAGTGAAACAAATTTTATTTTTATTCTAGATCACTCTGATGAGGGAGGAGTATCTGAGCTGGCAGATCAGCCTGGGCCTGATGAGGAAGTGTGTCTCCTGTCAGACATTGAAGGAGAAATATCGAACACCAGCAAGGCTGTACCTGAAAAGAGAAAGCAGGCAGAGAGTAAGAATATATATTTAATTTAATATAATTATAAAAAAAGCAAAATTTAAATAAGAAAACAATAAGGTCTAAAAATCCAATTGTCATGTCTCATACAGACATTAGCACACATTTTGAAAACAGTTATCCAAGTTGGTGAATATTGAAGCTTTGTATTAATTTTACAGGGAAAAATACAGAATATGAACACAATAAATCAGTAGAAATGGATGTTAGTGAAATCCCACACATTATCCAGATCATCCCGGTTGACAGCACTTGTATGCAATGTAAAGCTGAACAGCCTTGTACTTACCGATATATTACCAAAGAGAGTGAGACCGTCTACTTGTGCTCTCAGACATGTGCCAACAACTTTCAGAGTCAATGTGTCAAGCAGTATTCCACACACAAGAAGTACTTAATTGAAGAAATTGTACCTAAAATCTTAACATGCTCAGAATGTGAAGAAATGAAAACTTGTTACTTCTATTGCAATTACAACGGCGAGGACACAAATTACTGCTCCATGACCTGTCTCAAGAGTATGATGGCTGACGAAACAGACAAATACATGTTCAAGAGTTTTATCGAAGTCAAAGAAATTGCGCCCAGAGGAGCCAAGTGCTGCGTCTGCAATGTTCACAAAAAATGTTCGTACTCCTTTAATAGCGATGGTGAAACTCTCCTTATCTGTGCCAATTCGTGCATGAAAACCTTAAATTGTAGAGAAAATGGTAGATATGTAATTACAGGGAAGCAAATACAAAAACAAGGAAACATTCCATGGTACAATCCACGGACTTCTCCACGGAATGTCCCTGAAGAAAATGGTAGATATATGATTGTAAGGAAGGCAACTAGGAAACAAACTATTGTGCCACGCAATGTCCCTGAGGAAAACGGGAAATGTATGATTAAAAAGAAGATAACTCCAAGAAAACAACCTATCCAGCCACAGAATCCTTCTTTGCTTACGTTAAAAGTTATTTGTAATGCAACCGACAAATATTTAGACGAAGCATATAAGATACAAGCGAAGACACCTGCGATGGTGGAAGCGGCGCGGGAAGAGAGAGAACGGACTTTGCAAGCCGCGAGAGAAGAGAGAGAACGTACTTTTATTCGAATGTGTTACCGATGCCAACTTATTCTTAACATTGGCGAAAAATTATTGACTTGGGAAAATATGGACTTTTGTAGTGAATTGTGTTTAGGACGGTATCAGAACAAAATTGGAGCTCGGTGCGCGAATTGTAAGAACAATGTGCAAAAAACTAGTTTAGGGAAATATTGCGTCCGATTTGGTTTCGACATCCGGCAATTTTGTAACTCGTCGTGTTTAGAAGAGTTTAAGAAAGGGTTGAAGATATGTCATTATTGTCAACAAGATACATCAGTCAGTCACCAAAGTTTTCTGGCACCCGTCGGTGAAAAAGGACAGTTTAAAGACTTTTGTTCACAATCTTGTATAAAGAAGTTTGACCTGATGAGCAAAAACCAGGTGCTTCAACCAGTGTGGGCGAAGTGCGCTGTGTGTTCCTTAGAAAAAGCAACTTCGATTGAAGTGGAAGTGAGTGAGAATTCGTCACAAAGGTTGTGTTCGGATACCTGTTTTACAGCGTTCAAATTCGTTAACAAAATCGTCCCAGGTGAGTATCATATTTGACATCAAATTCAATATTTGTTTCGGCATGTACTGCGCTTTTTTATTTTTACGATCTGGAATCCATGTCTTAATTAACTAATTCTATGACCAGCAATTGGTGATTTGAGTGCTGCATGGCAAGCTTAATAGGGATGATGACAGGGTATGAAAATTAAAAATCTGATTAGTCCGTCAGTTACGTAATGAAAAAATATTAGACACGTATTTTTTTTATTTATTGTATAAGAAAACAATACATATAAAACGAGTCAAAGTTTAGAGAGCTAACTACGTGTCTTTCAAGTATAAAACGTACACCAAAGTTTCGTCACGCGATATTTCAAACCAATAACCTGCCTACTACGGGAGAAATGAAATAAAAAGAGGTGGAGCATGTATACTAGTACAAAAGGGGCATCAATGGAAGGAATTGCCTGGAATTGCTAAGATCTCATCGCCAGGCGTTCTTGAGTGTTGTGCAATCGAACTAATCCATTATAAAATAATAATAGTTTGTATTTATAGGGTGCCAAATGTCAGTAATTTTAATGATTGCCTAAATAAATTAGAAACCATATGTATGGAGGTAACAAAATCACGTCAAAAAAAAATTGTCATTGCTGGTGACTTTAATATTGACATGCTTAAATCAAATAACCAATCAGTTTCGTTTGAATGCTTGCTTCTAGGTTTTGATTTGAAATTGGCACTGAAACAACCGACTCGTATTGCTAGCATGACATGCATAGACAACTTTGCACACAATTTTAAAAAATCATGTAAAGCCACTGTGTTTGATTTTGCGTTGTCTGATCACACTGCTCAACTGCTTCAATGCCGCGTCGATAAAGTATGCGTGGGTAAATACTGGTATATAACCCGAAGGGATTATGATAAGGGAAATGTTAATAAATTTATAGAATGTTTAAATAGTATATCCTTTTCAGAAATTTATAGTACCGACGACCCTAATTATGCTTATAATGCTTTTATTGATACTTTCAAATTACTATATGACTTATGTTTCCCGATTGTCGTGACCAAACGAAATATTATAATGACCCCGAAATGGCTGTCCCGCGGTGTGAAGCTATGTAGTAGGAAAAAGAGGTCACTCTTGTGGCAACTAAGATTACATCCTAACCAATCTAATAAAATGACTTATGTAAACTACTCCAAACTATATAAAAAAATTATTAATCTCACACAAAAATCACAAAATAATCACAAGATTCACTTATCCAAAAACAAATCTAAAACTACTTGGCAAATCATAAATCAGACTAAACAAAACATTACTAAACAATATATAAATAGTATTAAAATCGATGACAATACTACAATTATTAACCCTATTGACATATCTAATGCTTTTAACAATTATTTTATTGACAAAATTCAGCCAATACTTAACTGTCACACTAAACCAAAGCCACACGGGATAAGCGCTCAGCAGAATTCTATGTTTCTTGCACCAAGTATACCATATGACATACTTAAAATAATTAATTCACTTAAGAATACAAATAGCGTGGGTTACGATGGTATATCAACAGAGATACTTAAAAGAGTGGCTCCCGGTATATGTAGTCATCTGAGTCATATTTTGAATCTTAGCATTTGCTCAGGTATCTATCCAGAGGCCTTAAAAATATCCATTATAAAACCATTATTTAAAAAGGAAAATAGGGAACTCATGGAATATTATAGGCCTATTGCGCTTATTCCAATTATATCGAAAATATTTGAAAAATATATATATAGAGAGACTTATAAATATTTAGAAAAAAACAAGTTATTGTGCTACGAACAGAAAGGATTTAGACAGGGTAAATCAATTAATATGGCAATATTTGATTTTATAAGGGGCGTCATAAAGCATGTAGATGAACGTAAACCGGTATGTGCCATTTACTGCGACATGACACAAGCGTTTGATTATGTACACTTTGATACACTCGTGAATAAACTTGAAGCCTATGGTATTAGAGGGAACACTCTAAGCTTAATAGAATCTTATTTACGTAACAGAAAACAAATAACTGAAATATGTAGAATGAATGAAAATAATTACGAAGAAACTTTTCGGTCGTCTGAACGTGAAGTTAGATACGGAGTACCACAGGGGAGCGTTCTGGGGCCGTTACTTTTTATATTGTATATAAATGACCTTCCGAAACACGTTGGTCAACCATTAACTCTGTTTGCCGACGATAGTACCATAACTATACCCTGCATTGATCCTAAATTATATGAAAATGATATTAATAATGCTCTAGCGACAGTCATAACATGGTTAAATAACAATAACTTAAAAATTAATCTAACAAAAACAAGCGTAATGCATTTTAGCCAAAGAATACCCAGTAAAAACCTCAACGTGAATTATAACAATAAAGTAGTGGATAAAGTTGCAAGCACTAAATTTTTGGGTTTGGAAATAGATCAAAATCTGAACTGGAAATCACATGTAGTCAAGGTTTGCAAGAAACTAAGTAAATCCGCATATGCCTTACATGCATTATCGTTGAAGGTTTCTAAGGAAGCGCTTCTTACCGCCTACTACGGTTTAGCTGAATCCCATCTTCGTTACGGGGTTATATTCTGGGGTAATTCAACCGACAAAGATATGGCATTCAAGGCCCAAAAAAGGTGCATTCGGTCAATGTATAAACTAAACACTACTGATAGTTGTTACCCGTATTTTAAAGAACTTAACATTTTAACATTACCGTGTATTTATATAATGGAAATGGCTATGTTTGTCAAGTCAAATCCACATTATTTTAAGAAAATGAACGACGTAGTAGCACGAAGTAGACGAGACGATAGTCAACTATGTCTTCAAAGAGCGAAGACAACACTAATGGGCAAAAGTGTCTGTTGCATGGCACCTAAAATCTTTAATAAATTACCTAAATCCTGGAGAAATTTGAGTATGTCAATATTAAAAAACAAATTGAGAAAATTATTAGTTGACAAGGCATATTACAATGTTGCAGATTTTCTAATGGACAATGGAATAGAATAATATTTTAAATAGGTACTAAATAACTTGGACATCTCATCTATTTTACTATGACATGTCTTGCACCAAGTATACCATATGACATACTTAAAATAATTAATTCACTTAAGAATACAAATAGCGTGGGTTACGATGGTATATCAACAGAGATACTTAAAAGAGTGGCTCCCGGTATATGTAGTCATCTGAGTCATATTTTGAATCTTAGCATTTGCTCAGGTATCTATCCAGAGGCCTTAAAAATATCCATTATAAAACCATTATTTAAAAAGGAAAATAGGGAACTCATGGAATATTATAGGCCTATTGCGCTTATTCCAATTATATCGAAAATATTTGAAAAATATATATATAGAGAGACTTATAAATATTTAGAAAAAAACAAGTTATTGTGCTACGAACAGAAAGGATTTAGACAGGGTAAATCAATTAATATGGCAATATTTGATTTTATAAGGGGCGTCATAAAGCATGTAGATGAACGTAAACCGGTATGTGCCATTTACTGCGACATGACACAAGCGTTTGATTATGTACACTTTGATACACTCGTGAATAAACTTGAAGCCTATGGTATTAGAGGGAACACTCTAAGCTTAATAGAATCTTATTTACGTAACAGAAAACAAATAACTGAAATATGTAGAATGAATGAAAATAATTACGAAGAAACTTTTCGGTCGTCTGAACGTGAAGTTAGATACGGAGTACCACAGGGGAGCGTTCTGGGGCCGTTACTTTTTATATTGTATATAAATGACCTTCCGAAACACGTTGGTCAACCATTAACTCTGTTTGCCGACGATAGTACCATAACTATACCCTGCATTGATCCTAAATTATATGAAAATGATATTAATAATGCTCTAGCGACAGTCATAACATGGTTAAATAACAATAACTTAAAAATTAATCTAACAAAAACAAGCGTAATGCATTTTAGCCAAAGAATACCCAGTAAAAACCTCAACGTGAATTATAACAATAAAGTAGTGGATAAAGTTGCAAGCACTAAATTTTTGGGTTTGGAAATAGATCAAAATCTGAACTGGAAATCACATGTAGTCAAGGTTTGCAAGAAACTAAGTAAATCCGCATATGCCTTACATGCATTATCGTTGAAGGTTTCTAAGGAAGCGCTTCTTACCGCCTACTACGGTTTAGCTGAATCCCATCTTCGTTACGGGGTTATATTCTGGGGTAATTCAACCGACAAAGATATGGCATTCAAGGCCCAAAAAAGGTGCATTCGGTCAATGTATAAACTAAACACTACTGATAGTTGTTACCCGTATTTTAAAGAACTTAACATTTTAACATTACCGTGTATTTATATAATGGAAATGGCTATGTTTGTCAAGTCAAATCCACATTATTTTAAGAAAATGAACGACGTAGTAGCACGAAGTAGACGAGACGATAGTCAACTATGTCTTCAAAGAGCGAAGACAACACTAATGGGCAAAAGTGTCTGTTGCATGGCACCTAAAATCTTTAATAAATTACCTAAATCCTGGAGAAATTTGAGTATGTCAATATTAAAAAACAAATTGAGAAAATTATTAGTTGACAAGGCATATTACAATGTTGCAGATTTTCTAATGGACAATGGAATAGAATAATATTTTAAATAGGTACTAAATAACTTGGACATCTCATCTATTTTACTATGACATTTCTTAACTTTAATCTTTTGACATCGTACCTATATTTTGTTAATGCGACTATTTTAATTTCTGTAATCAATTTAATAAGTACATTGCATAATATTGATTTTATTTTATATAATTTTATTCTTTTAATTATCTGTTAATTCATATTTGCATGCCTCCTGGTAAAATATGGTTGAGCTCGCAATGTACCTAAACACCACATATTGTATTACCCATATTTGCAAATAAACTATCTTTATCTTTATCTTTATCTTTCAATATATCGTCAAAACTTCTTCTTTTAAATAAAAAAATACCGTGTCTAATAATTTTAAATAATCTACCAGACGGACATTAAAATTAGTAATCTACCCTATTGCTCTTTCAATAACTTAGGCT